AAATCGTAAAAATAAGACCATTTATAGGGGCATTCACTATAAACATCATGCATTTTCAACCTTAGGCATACACGACTTGGCGAAAGTGAAACTAGCAGCCTGTGTGAAATGCGCTAGGCTGTACTATTCTGCATCAGTACAAATACGTGCACGCGTTGCGTGTGTTTTGCTGGCTTGAGTGTTTCTGCATTATATGAGTGGCTTTGGAATATAAATCGCAGCACGTTTCAGATGAAAAAACACGACTTCTATTTCTGAAAATATCACAGTTAACGAGTGGTTCTCTGCATTATTACAGCAAAGCACGTGATTACAGTACTAAGCCGCTACAATGGAGCAGCTCTAATGCTATTAAATTAAAGATGATGTACCACAGAGCAAAAAAAAATGAACAGTGAAAGTAACAAAAATTTGGAAAATACATTTGAATGGGCATAATTAAGTGTGAAAATAACCGAAGGATATAGTCAAACCAAAAATTATTCAGAGACCAGATATAATTCAAAATCACTTAATTTGACAGCACCTGGTAGTTTAGCTTACAGTTTAGGATACATTTCCTCAAAGTAGTCGATGTGTGGAGGCTGCAGAATATCCAGAGCTGACAGCACCTGTGGAGAAACAAAGACAGAGCCAGAGGTCAGCTTTGATGCCAGAGAATGTAGGCACTGACACCAGCCTTTATATGACATTCGTTTCCCAGGCACCAGCAGCCCAGGGACAACCAGAGCTAGCCAGGCTCCCGCTAATGGCACCATGGGGATAGCACATAGATAGCGAGAGTTAGGTAACACTAACTGATTAAAAAAAACAGTAGGGGATGGTGGGAAGCTCACATTGTCGTGCTTGAAGAAACAAAGCATCTTCAGCTCGCGGAAAACCCTCTTGCAGGAGACGAGGTTTTGGAAGACATTGGGCATCTTTTTGAGGGCCACTCGTTTGCCGTCTCTGGGGTCTGTCACTGACCTGAGGAGAAAAGATGAGAAATAAGCGATTAGGCAGAGTGAAAACTGGAGTTGTGACAGTTTTTAAAGAAAGTCTCGTGCTCAATAAGGCTGCATTTATTTAATTAAAAATACAGTAAAAACAGTAATATTGTGAAATTTTATTACAATTTAAAATAACTGTTTTCTATTTTAATATATTTTAAAATGTAATTTATCCCTGTGATAGGAAAGCTGAATTTTTAGCAGCTATTACTCCAGTTTTGAGTGTCATATGATCTTTCAGAAAACATTTCGTCTTATTATTAATGTTTAAAACGGCTGTGCTTGTAATATTTCTGTGGAACACATGATAATTTTTTTTAGGATTCTATGATATGAAAGTTCAAAAGTACACCATTTATTTGAAATAAAAAGCTTTTTAACATTATGAATGTCTATACTGTCACTTTTGATCGATTTAATGCATCCTTGCACAATATATGATCATTTTGTTTAATGTAAAATTTAAAAGAAACGTTCTGACCCCAAACTTTTGAACAGTAGTGTATATACGGTTGTGTTTTTCAATTTATCTACATAAATTTTTGATGACACAAAGGAATTACTGAATGACCGTTATGAATTAGTTCACTAAAACAGACAGTTTGAAGTGATTCATAATAATTAAAAGACTGAATCTAACTCTAAAACTAATACTTGCAAGTCACGATCGAAGGAGGGAGCTTGAAATTAGTCACATGACGTGGAAACTTAAAGATTCAAATAAAAAGTGCATTAAAATAACTGATATTCATACTGTTGTGTAATTTTATTTTTTGTCAGCAAAAACTTTTCAAATACATTGTGAGTATTTGATATATCGGTCAGAACTAATCTGCAATTTAATCATATATTCTGATGAATTTTGACAAAAAGAAGAAGAGAAGAGCAAGCAAGAGATAATTTGTTGAAAAAAGGCAAGCGCTGAAGGGCCCTCAGTAATGGCTTTGAATGTTGCCGGTTTGTGAACATCGTTTTTCGTCACTGTGCTATAAGCAGCTCGATGTGACCTTACTGAGAGATGCCAATTGGTATAAGTGCCTCTCCTTCTTCCCTGAACAGTAACACATTTTCAACAGCAATGTTAAACACATTACACAAATGCAGCTATCATTTCCCCAGCACACCGTGTCATTTCAACTTGTCGCTCGCTGTCCAATACTATATCTGTTTACCTGTTCATTTTTATGGATTGACTATACTGTATAGGAAAAGACATTTTCTCTCTTGAATTGATAATGCCCATGATTATGAAATACAGCTTGTGTGCATTTTTGCAAACTATAAAGTGCACAATAAGCCTCAAACCAATTCACAGACGTGTCATATCAAATGTATGCATAAGATTTCCACAACACAGAATGCTTTAGCTGTTTTTGTCGCATAATAATAGTCTCAAATGTGACTAGTAAACCTCAGAGGTGTGATCAATGTGCACAAGTAAGTGTGTCCCTGTACACCTCACCTGAAACACAATGGAACATTCAGACTGAAAAACAATTCATGATCACGCAAACACACACACACACACACACACACACACAATAGTGTCAACTTTTTAGGTTTTACAGTGTAAAACACGCTAATTAAAGCACAACAATGAAAAATACTAATATACACTACTGTTCAAATGTTTAACGTTGGTAAGATTTTTCAATGTTAAAAAATTTTTTTTTTATAATCACCAAGGCTGCATTTAGGCTATTTGATAAAAAAAAGCAATATTGTGAAATATTGTTACAATTTTAAACTAAAATTTTAATATTAATTAGATATGTACATTTTCTAAATAGAAAATATGAGTGGTGCTTGCCGTGGCAAAACTCGGCACTGTGCAGTTACTAGGGACTTTTTATCATGTTTTAACAATTAGATGGGAATTTTAGCATGTAGCTATTTACTGCTAGAATGAGTAGCATGATGGAAGTCAAAAGAGCTAACCCCCCATGTTTCTATGACACTTCTATCCAAAGAAATCCCTTTTGATCTGTTTGAATGGAAGTCTATTGGGTGGTTGCTAGGGTGTGGCTATGAAGATGAAAGGTCATTACTTATTGGTTACTTGAAAAGATAAGTCAAATGAGTGTGAGAGAGAGTTAGACAGAGAGAGAGAGAGAGAGAGAAGTGTGTGTGTGTCTGGGAGAGAAAGTGACAGCTGAGATTCAAATTCATATACATTCTGCCATTGTAAGTCTATGGGACATTTTTGCCCTCTTTTTCGTCTGCTGTGCGAACATCGTAGGTCCGATTGCTTAGAATAGACAAAGCACACCTCTCCTCAATGAGCTGGTCGATTTGACACCTCATTCATGGGTCTACGACAAATCGTGCGGGACAAGTTACATGCCGAAGTTTTGTCCAGAAGAAAAATAATAAGTATGCAAGAGAACAATAGTGATGCTTTGCCTTATAGGCAAGCACCACTAATAATATTATATTTTAAATTGTTATTTATTCCTATGAAGCCATTACTTTAGTCTTCAGTGTCACATGATCCTTCAGAAATCATTCTAATATGCTGATTTGCTGCTCAAGAACATTCGTATTATTCTTATTGTCAATATTGAAAATACTGGGCTATTTAATATTTTTGTGGAAACCATACTTTATTTCTCAGAATTGTTTGAGAAATAGGAAGATCAAAAGAACAGCATTTATTTGAAATAGAAATCTCTTGTAACATTAGAAATGTCTGCAGAATACAGTATTCAATTCTTAAAAAAAGCTTTTGAACAGTAATGTACATATAATCAACAATATGTTATATCACACAGAGTGCTTGATATGTTTACTGGAGCACTGTATGTGGTGGAAAAGTAAGACAAAGTGGAACAGAGTGGTGACAGATATATATTAGAGATTAAAAAATAAATAAGGTGTTTATTTAGGGTATGAAACATTGATCGGGAAAATGAATGCTTAACTGAGAAAAAGGTCTCTTGGGTCGGCACCATGACACACAAACACTCTCGCACACACACACACACACACACACACACGCCTGGTCACGGCATGTGATTCACAAGCTGGATTAAACAACAGCACGAGGGAGAGGGGGAGGAGAGAGAGAAAGAGAGAGATATTTCTTTGATAAAAAGGCAAACACTGCAGCACTGCCATCTCTCCTCAGTATCAAAACAAATGCTACAGCAGGAAATGGAGACAAGTTTCTTGGAAAACAGAGCAATAAAGAAAGACTGTCTTGTATAGATATATGGCACTGAATGAAAATGTGACAGACAACGCAATTGATTTGCACAGGAAGTAATTCAGGTATAACAAGAATGGCGTTTGTTTGCACATTCCAATCAGCCAGTCACAGCAACAGTGACTCGACCAATGGTGTAGCTTCAGGGGCGGGACTATCTATGTGTTTGAAACCTGTTTGAAAACAATCAGTTTTGCAATTCAGTTTGGTGATGCTAGTGGCAACACTTCAGATGTATTGTTTCACATATAAAAATATGGTGCTAGAATTAAATATTAATCATATCTGTGATGTAAATCACTGGGTTAAAAAATTCTTAGTCCTGCTATATTTCATCTCTTTCTTAGCTTAGTTTCACAGACGTGCACGAGAGGGAATCATCTCATTTAACTCATTAAAGCTTTGTCAGCAGCCTTGCCTCAAAATCCCTCCTTCCACCATTTCCAGGTGCCAGAAAAATAATGACAACACGTGGCCATGTGAGCCCGACTGACGCCTGGACCCGAGCTCCCCGAGTGTGCACTTCAGGACTCACACACAGAAGCTACTTCCTGGAGATAGCGGAGCGAAACGTCTACAATAGAAAGATACGCCTCACTCTCACTCTCTATCGCTCCATCTATTTCTCACTCTCTTTCCCCTCCGCTTTTAATCACTGGCTATTCAAAGATGAAAAGCCTTTCTGAAAGGGAAAAAGATTATCGGAGTACTTCAAACATGGCTTTTCTCTCTCTAAGAGCACATGAACATGCCTTCAGAAACAAAAATGGCTCTTTTTAAAATCTTGCTTGACGTTCTAAAAAGTAATGTAGAGGTTGATTTAAAGGCTAGCTGACTACAAGTGGACAAACCCTTTGGGTCTAAAGAGTGGTTAGAGCCATCTGAAACTACAAAAAGGCTTATTTAACCATTTCAAGACAACAAATAGAGACCAATTCAGATTTGAAAAACCTTGTGTTTGTTTACCTTGACGCTAAAGGAACTGTCCTCTAAGTGTTCGGTAAATGGCACAGTGCTTTGTAAGTATAAAAGCTCACACTGTAAACTGCAAACAGACTCGGAGTCTATACTGCAACTAAAATTGCTCACAAAACAACTCTTCAGAAAAATAATGCTCTGTGCATTTAAGACGGTACTTCAGACTTCAAGTCAACTACTGTAAAAAACTCATTTCAAAGGCATTTCAGGCCACAAACAATACGGCACTGAAGTTTGCAGTTCTACGTAGATCTATGTAGGCTGAAGTCAGTCATGGACCTTAAACCGTCCCTCAGAATGAAGAAGAGATGATTCTAATGGGGTTAAATTAATAATGGATACCAAAATTTTGGTTTTGGTATTATCTCGGCATCTGGTATTTTGGTATCACTACTAAAACGAAACCTTGGTTAACAAATAAACAGTCTTTGGTGACTCTGCATTAGAGCTAAATAGGGCTAAAAATATATTTTTTAAAAATCACAATTTCACACCTTTTTTGCTATTCCTGCTGACTACACACACACACAAATATATAAATAAATAAATAAATATAAAATATACAATGACAAATTATTTAAATTATTAAAAAAAAACTGAATAAAACAATTATAGCCAATTAAAAACAAAGACATATATAAATATGCACCTCTAGCTACTGTTCAAAAGTTTGAGGTCAGTAAGATTTTTTAAAATAAATAAATAATTTTATTCAGCAAGGATGCATTAAATTGTTCAAAAGTGAAAGTAAACTAATTTATAAAGTTAGAAAAGAATTTGATTCCAAATAAATG